CAGAGGACACGGGAAGTATTTTAAAACTATGAATTATTTTATGCAATGGAAATGAAACAGCAGCTCCTATAAAACTGTTACCTTGCCGTTGAGTAGCATCTGTGTACAATGGAATCCAATTTTGCCAGTAAGTTGATAGGTTGTTATAGAATGTCTGTACTGCTGGAGGGGAGTCTTTTTCAACGCCAAAACTTAAAATAACTTGAGGAGAGAAAGTCAAGGAATCAAAACTGGTGGCTGACATGAAAATTGTTCTATTGGGATTGAGTTCCGGCTAAATTTGTTATAGCTATGTAGGATGCAGGGTATCTTTTTTGTGGGGTCGGACATCGACAACTGGGATACTTTTTCAAGTTTTCTAAGCAATGGGTATGTAGGGAAAGAAAGAGTTTTAAGGATAAAACGATCGCTAAGAAATTGTCTATGCAAATATAGGGGAGGATCACACTTTTTACTTGAAGGGCATTGATCGGGGAGGAATCTCATAGCCCTAAGTATATTGCGCAAACATTTTGATTGAATTTTGGAAACTTTTTCCAAAGGTATTTTATTACAGGGATCGAGAAGAAAGGCGCCGTAGTCCAGATGACTACGTACTATTGCGTTGTATAGTACATGTACTTTCAGGTTACATACAGTTGCAAAATCAAAATCAAATGTCTTTATTCAACATAGGAGTATTACACTCGCTTATTGATAGTCAAAATACTACTACCGGTTCGGAAAAGAACTGAGAAGAACCGACTAAAGAAACTTGGTGGGCTTTTTTTTTTTTTTGATGAATACAAGTTTGTACAATATAAGAACTCTGATTAAAGAGCGTGGATCGATCAATTCATTACCAGAGTCTGTTATCATTTAAATAATCATTAATATTATAATAGCCTTTAACACACAAACGTTCTTTTACATTTTTTTTTTAATTTATCTATTGATGCATTTATAGTTTTCTGGAATTTTGTTGTAGAAACGTAGACATTGTTCATAAAAGATTTACTTATTTTTCGCAGTCTACTTGTGGGTAGGATCAATTTATGTTTGTTCCTAGTGTTTATATCATGAACATTATTATGTCTTGAAAATTTATCCTTATTTTTATGGACATACATAACATTTTCAAAAATGTATTGAAAAGCAACATTCAATATTTTTCTCTCTTTAAACAAATTTCTTAAAGATTCTTTGGAGCCCAGATTATAAACTGCACGAATAGCTCTCTTTTGTAGGATAAAGATTGTAATAATGTCGGCTGCGTTACCCCAAAGCAGAATGCCATAAGACATTATACTGTGGAAATAACTATAATATACCAAGCGAGCCGTATCTACATCAGTAAACTGTCTTATTTTTTTGACGGCGAAAGCTGCTGAGCTAAGCTTACTCGCCAGCCTATTAATATGGGGGCCCCATTGCAGTTTGGCGTCAATATTTATATCAAGGAATAGTTGAGTCAATAGGGTCCATCCAGCGCATGTTATGTTTATAACAAAAAAAAGAAATTTTTACGAGATCTTTTTTGCCATATCACTTTTTGTTATTTAAAAATAGCATCGTTTTTGAATATAATATAGTACATATTTATTATAATGCTTATTTTATTTCTTTTTAATTATTACAATTTTATTGCACAGCAATTAGGCGAAATAAAACGTTCACCATGCACCCCTTAATACAGCCTTTTTCCTAGCTGATTGACATATATTATGTAGATTATTATTATTGATTATTACTTAATGTTTATTAAATTATATTGTATTTTTTAAATAAATAAACTGTTTTTCATTTCTTTCATTTAGTTAAATTCAAAATGATTTATAGTTTTTAGTTTTAAAAATCTTTAATAGTAGGTAATGTTCCTAAAAAAAGCTTACATACAACAGAAAATTGAAAAATATGTCATTTATATAACGAAATATAGGGCCTTGGCCCAAATTTCGATTCGATTTCACCCTGGGATTCTTCCCCTAGACTAATGTTATTGGTAAGGTTCATATACAGCGTGTCGTTACCATCGCGACAGTAAATGAACACACATATAGAAGATAACTTTTAAAAATTGTATTAAACATTTACATTCTTTAAACATCAATATTTACCAAGTTATTAAATTTTCCAAAACAAACAATTTTAGAACACCCTTACGTATAAAACTGTAACGTAAAGTTCATTTGTAAAGGTCACAAAACATATGAATGGGTTGAATGAATTTAAAAGACACAAAACATACTGTTAGAAGAAGAGGCTTGTAATGCGAAGCTGTGGCGCGAGTTGTATAGGATGTTACAAATTTTATTTCTTTTTTACTTAATTAGTTTGTTTGAAAAATATTTTTTTTTTGATTATTGGTAAGTAGCGTTAGACGTGTGTTCATTTATTGGCGCGATGTTAACGACACGCTGTATAACGACTAAATATACAAAATAGCATATATATTACGTACTCATACAGAATGAGACTTTTTATTGAAATGGATTTAATTTGAATAAGGCATTATCTCTTTAGATTTTTGGTTTAGAAAAAGATTATATAATTTTTTAAAAGTGTATCCTAAAAATGTTAAATGCGATTTAAAAATTGAGATTTAAAACCCCATACTAAATTTTATGTTCGTTAAAATGTTAGATATATAGTGGCATGGCTATGAATCTAGGAGACATTATGCTCATAAAATCAAAATCAAAATAATTTATTCATCGATATGAGAAAAATAAATTTCATTTATCGATAGTCATTTTTTATCTACCACCGTTTCGTAATGAGGTTCCTATAACGGAGAGGAAACAGGCGAAAGAAAATCCGTAGGTATCCTGTTTTTTTTCTTTTTTTTTCCCAACAAAATTAAAATATTATACAACAAATTTTTCTTTTAAAAATGACTTGGGAGCGATCAACTCATTCCCAGGGGTTATTGTTATTAATGTATTCATTTATATTATAATTACCCTTTTTATAAAGTTTTTCTTTAATAAATTTCTTAAACCTGTTGATAGGCAGGCTTTGCGCATTTTCTGGGATTTTGATGTAGAAGCGTATACACCGCCCCATGAACGAGTTACTTAGTCTATGGAGTCTAGTAACTGGCGTTACAAGCTTGTAATTGTTCCTAGTATTTACGTTATGAACATCAGTATTCTTATCAAAATTATCAATATTTCCACGTAAATAAATTAAATTTTAATATATATATCGAGAGAACAAGGTTAATATATTGATTTCTTTAAACCTCTCTCTCAGAGATACATTCATGCCTAGATTATAAATTGATCTTATGGCCCTTTTTTGCAAAATAAAAATTGTTTCTATATCGGCTGCATAGCAAAACACTATATGACATTATGCTACGGAAATAACTAAAATAAACAATTCTAGCTGTAGCCGACATCTTATTTTCCTGATAGCATACGTCGCAGAACTTTTTCGCAAGTTTGGATATATGGGGCCCCCATTAAAGTTTTGCATCAAGAGTAATTCCAAAAAAAGCAGTCGTTTCCTCTAGGCCTAACTGTTCCCCATTTATAAGAACGTTGTAGCTCCCAAATGTTTAACATTAGGTGTTGAAAATTTTATACATTTAGTTTTATTGCCATTTAATAGTAAACTGTTAGCATTAAACCAATGGACTATTAATGATACTTCATTCGGCAAATAACACTATATCATGTTTATTCCCTACAAAATAAGGTAAATCATTGACTGAATCGAGCCCTGCGGAACCCCCATTTACACCATCGAGCTAGAAGAACTAGCACCATTTATTACAACTTTTTGGATTCTTTTACATAAATATGAGTTAATGAGGTCAAGCGCGGTACTTCTAATGCCGTAATGGTGTAATTTCCTGATCAATGTCTCATGATTGACGGATTGACGAAAGATCACAAAAGACACCTTGAGCGTCCTGTGAACTCTACCAAGCTTCAAATATATGTTCGATCAGCTCTACACCAGCATCGGTTGTAGAACGATCCCTTATAAAACCAAACTGGTTTTGATGTAATAATTTATTTAAATTGATTGTTTGATCAAGAAGAAGTTTTTCGAAAATTTGTGAAAAGTGTTGGTAGTATAGAAATAGGTCTAAAGTTAGTGGGGTCCGAAGTACTAACGAATTTAAATACAGGTATGACTTTACTGTGTTTCATGAGATCAGGAAATACACCAGAATCATCACAATTGTTAAATATGATGGACAAGTAAGGTGCTATTAAATCTATCACTGAAGCAGTCACTTCAACGGACATCCCCCATAGATCTGCAGTTTTCTTAAATTCCATGGTGTTAAACATTTTCACAATATCTTTTGAATACAAAGTCTGAAACTTAAAGATTGTTGTGCAAGGACTTACTTACATTTTGCTTAAGTAATGTCTAGGCAACATCAGGAGAAGAAGACATACAATCCTAGGTAGTCCTTTAACTGAATTTATCAATTATTAAAAGAGGATAGAGAAGTTATGCTATTATTCCTATACATGTAACGTATTTAACTGTGGTAGGGCCACGTAGGAGCCTCGGCTGTTGCACGAATGGACAGGCTAGTCTTGGTAAGTACCACGACCTCACAGAAGACCGGCTTAAAGTGGAAGTATAATACCTTCACGTTTCGTCTGTTGAGTGAGGTAGCCGGAGCCCAATTTTCAAAATGTTGTCAACGCATCTGCAACCCTCGGATGTATCAATGGGCGACGGTATTCACTTATCATCAGGTGAACCGAGTGCTCGCTTGGCAAGTTTTCACATATAAAAAAACATGGTAGATACTCTAAACTTGTTCCATCTTTTTTATTTAAAATTGTTCTAAAACAATAAAAAAATATATTCAAAGTAATATTTACATAATTTGTCTAAATAACTCAGCGATAAATAGTGTCATCACATAAGGTAGCTTTGTATTAATGAAATGGACATTAGAGTCGCTAAAGTAGATCTGGAGACTACCAATTATAGGTTAAGCATAAAAATATGTTTACAATATTATTACCAATTAGGTATACTAGTTATTTGCAGTGGTGTGCGATCGGTGTGCGCGGGAACGGTGAGGCGGCGGGGGGGTGATGGGCCTGCGCGGCGGTCACGGTCGAGGACGTGGCCTTGACACGCGCCGCGCAGCCTCCGCTATGCCCGCGCTCGCTCGAACGTAGCTAGCAATCGGGCTCACATGCTTAATATATTGAGTAATTGTAATCAAATTCAATTTCAAGGAGTCATTTGCTCGGGCCTCGCCTCATCGAAACAAAACATATCCGACCGATGAACTAAAAGATCCGAAACAATTTTTCTATGACGAGAATTGAGGGGTTTTGTGCAAGTAAATTTCGTGTATGAAATGCAATTATCTGCTGTTTTCGAGAGGCAAAGTTTCCACGTGTTAAAATTTACACTCTGCACGTGCTCATTGACAGTTTTAATTAATTAAAGATTCCGTTCGTATTCGTAGTTCGCTTCGTCTTAAGGGCAAAGTACGAAAATACATTTTTTTATGAAAATAATAATATATTCATAATTGTAATCATAGGAATAATAGGCACCCTTAATGAGCTCCGCTATTTATGTACATATATATAGGTACACAAACATTGAGATCGTGTGCCATAACCTCCGTCGTAATATCCCGTAGCTAATAATTTGTATTAATTTGTTTTAAAGAATTAATCTCGAAGATTTATACGTATACATTTATATTTATAAGTAAAATTTTTAAAATGCGTGCGCACGCCGACAGTAAAAAAGCGACATGATAAAGTTCGTTGCAAAGCGACAAATACACGATATTAGCATGTCAATAGATGACAATGGATTTTTTGACATTTACCTATAATTATAAGTTATTTACTTAAACCATTTATTGCATTTACTGTCTATTTCACAAACAAAGAGTATTGGCACAGGGGATAAAATTTTTAGTTATTTTTCTTTTGTTACGCAGGCCACAGTGTAGTGTTCTAAAACGTGGGAAGTGGCGATATGCATCCCAGTGGAGAGGGATAAGCTACAGGGTAAGGTGTTCTGAACGTGGCGATATGCATTCCAGTTGAGAGGGATAAGCCACAGGATAAGGTGTTCTGAATATGAATATGCAGCCCAGTTGAAAGGGATATTTTTTTTAGTATGGTTAAAAATATATGATACGGAAAGGAATAACAGTCTACAGAAATGCAATTTAATTACACAAATTGGTATAAGTTTCGGTACGCTAGAGCCTACAGGCATACTTTATTTTTCTATCTATTCTGTTCTGTAAAATAATTTGAAGGTTTGGAAAAATATATTTAATTTGAAAACTATGTAATAAAAATCAATCTCTACACTAACTATAAATTCTCTTAATCATGATTTCAATATTGATATGGTACAGAACAACGTTGAATAGAAAAAATGTATACAAATATCTTTAATTACTAAATGTAAAGCTGATTTTTGGTATACGATTTTCCTTATTTCTATATGATTTAAAAATTTTAGAACTACTTTAATTAACTTTTTTTCTATCGGATAGCACAGTTGCTGGTCTAGTCTGGTCGCTTTGTTTGTGTATGTTGGCTGTTCGTAAAATTCGGTCGTGTTAATTTAAATAATGACTTAGCAAAACGTGTTACCTGTGCGACTTGTGAAGGTTGGGTATAGAATTATCAAATCATTTGTAAAAGTGGAATCTTTACTTTTTAACAGCCTATATACGATGATTATGATGTATGTGGTGGGATTGGGTAGTAAGTCCCACACGGCCACAGCGACCCTAACCAAGTTGTCAGTCGATGAGGGGCTTAGAGTCAGGGCTTCTTCTGTTGCCAACTTGGGAGGCCTTAGTTCCCGACTCTTAATATTGACCAGGGCATCGCATTTACAAATTACGGCATTTCTTCATCATCACCGCAGAATCTACAGAACGGGTTTTCCGAAAGTCCCATTCTGTTTAGATTTTTGTTTAACTTACAGTTCCCCATGAGGGCTCTTTTGAGAATACTGACTTGTAAGTTGTAACGTAAGTACCATTTAGTGTATGAACCAGCTTTCCAAATGTACTCCTTTAACCATTTTCCGCATTGTAAGGTAACAGTCTATATATATATATATATATATATCCCATTGCTGGGCAAAGGGGGCAAAGGCTTCCTCTGAATAGAGAGCATTAGGCACCTCACATATCTTTGAAATATTTTGTTTTACTTATCACGTGTTCAGCGGTGAAGGAAATTTAAGTGAGGAAACATGAATATTTTCAAATAATTGTAATCACTTGTATTAGTAAAAACATTATACATGAATTTGATGATACAAACCAACGCGACTACAGTCAACGGTTTGTCTGCCGTAATTTCCACTTTTTAGAAAGTAATAGAGTCCTGATAACATTATATGCAAGTGTCTAGACCAGTGATTCTCAACCACTGTGCCGCGGCACTTTTGTGTCCCGTCAAATTTCAAAAGTGTGCCGCCAAATTTTGCAAATATATAATAATGTTTATATTATTATATTATATCATTTAAAAAGAAAAATATTTTTAACATGAATATGTATTTAAATCCACAAAAATAAATTATTTTATTATTTGCTTTGCAACGCGTTTTTTCTTAGTGCCAAATTACGATGAAGCGGCGTGCATAGCAACAGGAATATGTCTCAAGTCGGCGTACACTTCCCACTTCTGCGTACAAAACGTGTTGTTTTAGTGATATTTGGGATTTACAAGGTGTTGCATAGTAGTTATTGCACCTTTTCTTTCGTTAAAATTGGCAAATGTATGTGATTCGGTTTAATATTAATTTATTTGCATGTAGTGTCAATTTATAAATTTGTAAACTTATTAACTTTGCAGTACACCTATCCCCCGATTACACGGTACTTGTTTTACACGTTTTCGCTTTTACACGGTTTTCCAAATAAGTTTTTTTTTGTTTTTATCACACTCTACTAAATGCTACTGTGATTAAACACGTGCGCTGTGTACACATCTCACGGGGAATCCCGAGCTTATGTGCTGACTTGCTGCACACGCACACTGTGTCTGTATTTCTTCGCGTCTATATTAGTTATAGCGTATATATTATTCGTCTTATATATTAGTTTATTCCGTATATTTAAAATTTTTGTCATAAACTATTTATGCAGTGTGTTGTAGTAAGTAAATAATTTTGTGTGCCGCCAAATTTTGAAATCGTTAAATATGTGCCGCAACAAAAAAAAGGTTGAGAATCACTGGTCTAGACACTTTTGACGACAAAATTTAGACTATTCTATTCATATATATGTTAAATATTTCTGATTCTATTTAAATACATATTCATGTTATGTCTAGATAGCGTCGTAATGCAAATATATTCGTGTTTGATACGTCGTGGCTTTAGAGCCACGTATGAAACATTTATTTATAAGAAAATAAAAAATATAAATTGGCAATATGTGCGTTTTTTGAGGGGAAAAAATTAATAAATAGTAGTAAGTATTATGTAAAACATTGTAGAAGCTATATGTTATAAAAATAAAATAGTATATAAGCATTGATTGGGACGGAATGATGTTCGGATTTCCCTATTTCGATTCTAGCTTCGCATACTTTTCGCTGGTCATACAATAATTTTCTTTATACGGTAACAAAAACTACATCGACTACTAAAGTACGAATAGATATTTTGGTAATTTCTTTCAGCAGTCCTATTTATAGAATATAAAAAAAAAGATAAAGTACGAATATGAGTGTGGGCAGATAATTAATTTTGATGTCTTCATTTATGTGTAATATTTCTTATGGGTTTTTTATATCAACATGCTTATAAAAATTATCTAAAATCACGAAACAGAATGTAAGAATTTATTTGCTATATGCAATTCAATACTTTTATTAATCATTGTTTGTTTTCCCCACTAGATGTCGCTAACTACATCAGAAGCGAACGTTGTGAGTATATTAGCTAATTATTGAACTATACTAATAATAGATAATTATTCAACTTGGCATAAAATAATTACTACCCACTGTATCATTATCAATGGATTATAGGACCGCTCCGTGGAGTAACCTCTATAATAGTTTTCATTGTGCATTGTTAATGATCCTAATACACTTGCTGCTTTTCGTGCAAACTAAATACACCAAATAGACATTACGTCATACGTCGGCTGTACCAGTTTTTTGGGATTTTCCTATTTCAACTCTGACCACGCACTCATTTCATAAGCCAATAGCATGCCTTATTTATAAAACAGAATCGGCTACTGAAGTATCAAATAAATGTTTTGGTCATTTCTTTTAGGATTGGACCTCGTCATCCATCGGGAATAAATACATATTTCAATAATTACAACATGGATTCGTGTAAATCGAAGAAATTATTACATTCATATTATACATTATGGAAAAGAAATATGAATTTGGTGTTCTTACAATTTTGTCGAAGATTCTAACTCATGTAATAACTGTGGTAATCTTGAAATTAATGAACTCTTTCAATTTAAATGGGAGATAACAAGGGAAAATTATCATTAGGGAGTTATTTTTAAATTATTGTATATTATATTAAGATACTTTGAACAATAATAAATCATAAGTAAAATTATTACAACTTACAAAATTATGTAATAAATTAATAAATTTATACTAAATTTAAACATATAATAAAATTACTTACATCTAAGTTACTCGTTAAGTCATAATTATAATAATGTTATCAACCGACTTAAAAAAAAGGAGGAGGTTTTCAATTTAACTATATTTTTTTTATGTTTGTTTGTTACCTCAGAACTTTCAATTGAATGAATCGATTTTGATGATTCTTTTTTTATTTCAAAGCTGGTGCTTCCCATGTGGTCCCTTATTTAAATCATTGGTATTGGATCTTGAAAATCCTCTGCTGAGAATAAATTATAAAATGAATACAGAGCGAGATATTTGAAGTCGGTTTTGTTTTTCGTTAATAAAAAAAAGGACTTGTTTCAAAATTAGATGTAAACGCTCGTAATTAATAAAAATCATTAATTTCGTCGCGGCAATGACAAAAGCGAGTAAAAAACATACGCGTCCCGGTGTCTCATTGTCTCGAGTATGCGAGCGGGTAATCGTTTTCATTAGTTCAACGAATCAAGGAGCATCAAGAGGCATCGCGATGGGAGCATTGTAAAAACGCTGGTGCGCAGCGGGCCGGATGCGGACTCCCGATGGAGTGCGGGCGCGGGGCGAAGCGCCCGGGAGTGCATCGGGACATTGACTGTCTGGCTCCCGCCTGCGTTATCTGCAGTTGCCCTTTCGTTCGATGCACCTTACCCTCCTTCCACCCCCACGCGGCGGGGGCCAGACTACCGCAGCCCCCTTGGCCACTTTCTGGAATTTGCTATTGACCTGGAACGCGGCGATAGTCACTTTTCTCTCCCTCGGTAGCCGCGTCTGAGGAAACATTTTAAAATATTAAGAAACGTCAAACTGAACGTCAGGGCGTGAACAAATGGGAGGGAGGCTTCCATGGGGAAATCGATTTATATTTAGACTAGCTGTTATCCGCGGCTTCACGCTCGCGGCCAAAAGGAATTAACAATGAGTTTTTATTGTACACCAAAATATCTCCCAGATGGCTCAATTTTGTCCTACTCAGTTGACACTGATCATTACCTATAATTTGGGACAATTATCAAAATATGTTTTTTATGAATTGTAGCCTATGTGTTATTCTGATGTATAAGCTATATTATTGTTAAGTTTCATTAAAATCTATTCAGTAGTTTTTGGGTGAAAGAGTAACAAACATCCATCCATACATACAAACTTTCGCCTTTATAATATTATTGAGGAAAAGATGTAAAATATATTGTCAGTGTTTTAAATAATTCGAAACCACATTGAAATACGCTAATGGATCGTACGTGTCCATTGTTGTATTCCTACTAAGGTCATGAGTGATAACGATTACAAGTTGTACACTGGGCATGCCTTGAACTCTGGGTGTAAAGAACCTTAGTTATGTTTCATAAATTATTTTATCGTGATTATAAATAGCAGCATTTCTCTTCTGTGTTTGTATTTATTAAGAACATATACATAAGGAAAATAATGTAGTAATAGTGTAGCATCCAGCGACTGAAGTGAGATGAATGCATATTTATTTTTATTGCATTTTTCCCACAAAGTACATACAATAATTTAGGCTTCCTTGAAGCGCATTCAAAAGATTAACAATAACGATATAAAATTATAGATTATGATGTGAACCATGCTTAAATATTTCAAGGTTAGTACCTGTTTGTGTCTTTGTCCAAGTTTAAAACAGCCGCGCGGCATGTTTAAATGTCAAGTTTAGGGCGAAATTTCTTTTACCTTTACGACCTTAATAACGTTTTTGTTATTCGTATGAATTAAGCATATGTATTATGATTGCCGATAATTAACGAATAAAAATATATTCTTCATTCGTTAATGGCATGAAGAACTAAAATAAATTTCTGATTATAATTTATCAATTGTGAATATAAAAGGAAATGCGTGAAATATATTTTTACGATAAATACCGCGAGTCAAATGCATAGTTTATGATTACTGACGCACTATCTGCCCTCATAGATTTCGCAGCAGAATTAATGTTTAATCAGCAATTCGTTTAAAAATGCGAGGCGGCTGTGGGAAGGCCGTTCGTGTGCTCCTGTCGCGTGCGAGTCAACGTCATAGTTTTCGCTAAGGCGTTAACCGTGCTCGTCGAATAAAGTGAGTTAGGAGGAACGCCGCAGTTTTCGGCAGTCCGACCTTGGAGAGCTCGTCCTCGGGCCGTGTCAACGACAGCCGGCCTCGACGCGTGCTGGTCGCCCCCCTCCGCCTTCAGTGCCCCATCCCCCAAACCCCGTGGATACCCCACCCGCCCCTCCACACGCAGCCCCGTTCTTTGTTGTAATTGACTACCCACTGCTAAAAATACAATTGTTATTAGCCTCGCAATTATTTCTCGTATTGAAATTATTTATATCATCACCGTGCAATTGGAGTAAGTACTTATCATTTTTTTTGTCGCACTGTGAAAAAAAGAAAAAAAACACAGTATTTCATTCTTATGCTTTACCTATTTAGAAAATTTAAGCAACGTAGTAGTGTACGAGTTTTTAGCTAATTTTTAATGTTGTCATAAAAATATTTTTTATAAATCCACAACATGTATAAGACAAGGACAATTAATTAATGGTCTGCGGAACTAACATTTGAAACAGATATAAGTCACCAGCAATAATATTATTAATTCCAAAATAGTCAGAATTGTCTTCAGTTTTTATCAAGTCGTAATTAATGATACTTACTCAAAAAGATTATAAGTATTTTAGTGACCAGATCGTTGTAAGGAACGATGACTGCTGTATTTTTAATGGTATTATTCATATTATGCATTGGTAATAGAAGTAAATATTATTAAAATTATCATTTACTTCACTTTCTTTTTATAATTTTTTTTTGTTATTGGTATAGAAGAAATAAAAATATGTTTGTGCCACAAAAATGCAAGAAAAATCGCTATAATAATTACGAGATTGATAAATTATTTTTACTCATGATTAAAATAAACAACGTCTATTGACTTTATTTTATTTAATTATTATATATTTTTATTAATTATATATAAATTATTATTTAAGTTTATTATATAATTATAATTATTAATAATAAAACTTAGGGCAAAGAAAATTTTAAGTTACATCCACGTCGTAAAATAAAATTATAGCTTTTTTGTTTATATTCGTGGCAAAAAATTCTATACGTAGCTATCATGTTTTTTTCTAGCTGCAATTTTTATTTTAAAAAGGTTAATGTTATAATTTCCAAATATCGTTTCGATACAGACGAAGCCTCGTAAAAAATAAAGTTATAAATGTGGCGTTCGCCGTTAGTATTGGCGAAAAGATTTTAGTTTTTTGTAAATACAATGTACAATAAATAAAACGATATCATAGAGCCAGCTTACTTGTTAATGCGGCTTTTTAAAAAAACTCTTTGGCACGATCGAATAACTGCTGTTTGCGGACGGTCTTTTCACTGAGGGAAAGAGAAAACTTGCTAGGCACTATTTCATTGATTGCGGTTAGTAACGCTTTTGTTTATTTACACAGTTGCATTCTTTAAAAAGAGTTCGATCGGCCGGGGCACGGGGGACGGGGGTGGGCGGGAGAAGGGAGCGCAAGAGGGCGACGACTTGCACCTAAAGTCCGACATTGAGATACCCTTGCAAGGGCATTCCACTACTGCAGTCTTCAAGGCCCGTAGGGTCGAAACACTCGCGGACTATATTCGCGGTTAAGCTGAACTTGGTAATATAAACGGGCGGGCATGCTTAATTGTTGAGCCGTTACGTTGTTAACATGCATTATTTTAATTTTGAAATAGCGACAGAATTACATCTTATGTAATTTCTAAGATTTAACACGCTCGATGACACGCATGATTCTATATTGATGAATAATAATAATAAATCTTTATTTGGAAATGCAAAAGTACATTTTATGTAAAACAATAAGATCTTCATTAACTTAAAACTGTGTCGTAACTAAACTCAATAGATTACGATAAGGTTTTCGGATTCCAGACAAACAAATGAAAGAAATATTTTGTCACTTTTTAGGAGTAGTGTTTGACATTTGGAGGTCCTTTTAATCTATATTATTACATGATTATCACATACAATACACCTACAATAATTGTCTCTATGTAGAGATAACTAACTACTATCAAAATGTATAGATATACTAACTGTTTAAGATATTAAGTACCCGGAGGACCGAGCTTTGCTCGGTTTGTGTTTTTTTTTTTGGTAAATCGTGTATTTTGGAAATTACATTTAGATACAAATTACTGAGTAATGAAATATGCATAGTATTTTTCGATCTTACCGACGTAATAATAAGAAAATATGAACTGATGTTTTTCACAAAAGAAAGAACTTTAAAAAAAGAGGGAAAAAAATAACAAAATAACAAATCGACAAAAAATTAAAAATAAAGAAAGCAATGATCTGGAATCGAAAAAAAAGTAAAAAAATAAATGTGTAAATGATCGTGACGCGAACCACGACCGTCTGTTTTAGGGCCGCCCGATAACCGACCGAGCTATTATGAAATTTTTTCTTGCGGTGAAATTTACCGTCATATTCGAATTATATTTTTCATTCCCTGAAAACAGGGATAAAAGGGCATTTTCTAAAAATGAAACCTAGCTATATCGATTTTTCGCCCCGGAATCTATGCACATACTAAATTTCATGAAAATCGCTGGAGCCGTTTCCGAGATTCCGATTATATATATATACAAGAATTGCTCGTTTAAAGGATAAGATTTATCACGATCATGTAAGCTAGAAATGAAGTATTTTCATGAAAACATGAAGTCTTTGAAGAAAACGAAAATACATCATCTTTATATTGCTTTATTGCAATATAAAGATTTATTTAATGTACTATCATAATTATAATTATAATAAACAAAAATAGTGCACTTCGTGCATTCTAAAATCGTGCACTCGTAGAACTTCCTTGTGGATATTACAATGTCAAGTATCAAAAGTGTCACTTGGAACTTGAAAGAAACTTAAGTAACTATTTTTTGTGAAAATTTTTATCATTTACATGAATATTACACATTCTTATTAAAATAGGTTCAGGACTATCGCGGTTTTCATATTTTAATATTGAACCGATAATTATCACAAATCCTTCAATAAATGAAATCCATAAACTACTTAAATATTTTTATGTGATAGCGAAAACATGAAAAAAAAAAGAACACAAATTTACATGCTTCTTTCGCGGTTACAGTATATTCTGAAATGAGTAATAATCCGAAGAGAATCGTTTATCCTCAGTTCGGGGGCGAGCTGTTCTTGTATCCTGGGGAAGAAATAAATGTCTCGCCGGTGCATATCGATCGGTGGAGGTCGCGACGGCGGCGGCTGGCCTGCAGGATGCAGTCACACCGTCTACGCGTCCTTTCTTTATTGAATAATCCGGTACAAAATAAGTTTTGTACATCCAAAGCAGGGACCATTATAAGCCACACCCAATCAAATAATGGCACAAACTTATAACTTAATCAGTGTTTAACAAATATCACAAGACTTTCTAATAATAATCATCAATTGCGCCTTTTTGATTCCACTGCTGAACATAGGCCTACCCCATACTGCCACGAAGTACCTGCACCCACCCGCACAGATCGTCACTCCATTTAGTCTAGTGACTTTGTAATAATCTATTTTTTGTTTTTTTTATTACATATATTAACGGCCTAACTTTGGAAGTGAGTGTTCCAAAATTCGCTAACGGTTCAATAATTTTCTTATTCAACCGTAAAATTTAGTCACTGCTCTATAGGTCCCTTAAATTCTTAACAGACCATTAGTTTTCTGTCAAGATGGTCTGATTTTATTTTCGTAATTAGATCACAGTTTATTTTTGTTTGTTTATCATTGATCATTTGAAATGGATAGAGTGAAATTTTTTGTAACATTACTTGCGTGCGAAATGACGTAGGTATAAGACAGAGTTGAAGAATGGTTAGATCCACACTAACGACTTATGTGATATTTTCACTTGAGTGAATTTCTATTGAGTGAATTTTTAATATTTCTAATATGTTAATATACGATATGATATGATTATGGGACATATTAAAGCGTTCTTAAGTTTAAAAAATGAACAGCAAATCTTATCCTTTAAACGAGCAATTCTTGTATATATATAATTGGAATCCCGGAAACACCTTCAGCGATTTTCATGAAATTTAGTATGTGCGTAGATTCGGGGGCGAAAAATCGATCTAGCTAGGTTTCATTTTTAGAAAATGTCCTTTTATCTCCGTTTTCAGGGAATGAAAAATATCATTCGAATATGACGGTAAATTTCGCCGCAAAAAAAAATGTTAATACCTCGGTCGGTAATCGGGCGGCCCCAAAACATACGGCCGCGGTTCGTATCACGATCATTTACACACTTATTTTTTTACTTTTTTTTCGATACCACATCATTGCTTTCTTTATTTTTTATTTTTTGTCGATTTGTTATTTTGTTATATTTTTCCCTTTTTTTAAAGTTCTTTCTTTTGTGAAAAACACCGGTTCATATTTTCTTATTATTACGTCGGTTAAATTGAAAAATATTATGCATATTTCATTACTCAGTAATTTGTATCTAAATGTAATTTCCAAAACACACGATTTACCAAAAAAAAACAAACCGAGCAAAGCTTGGTCCTCCGGGTACTGTTAAGTGATAACTGCCCCCCATAGACTAATGCAACACCCGCAGGGTTGCAAATGCTTTGCTACCTTTTAACATGTGTATCATTTCACGTCGGTCTTCTGTGAGATCGTGATATTTCCCCGTATGGAGCTGCCAATTCGTACAACAGTGATAACTGTTGTGTTGCCCTACTACTGTAAAATCAAAGAAATAATATGCAAAAGCAATTATTGTGCGTTCGGTGTAACCGAGTCCGTCGTCTGCTGCATAAGCGTGCATACGCGCATGCGTTCCGCCGTCTCCTGACACCCTCGGCTACACCCTACCGTGTCCCGGTGCCCTTCCTGGGCCATGCGACTTTCACTGCCGAACAGCCGCTATAAAGTAATATCAATGGGCACGCAATGCGTTTGTGTTCCATGGTGACTGTGGGAGGAACTTGCTTTGGCCTCCTCTCTGCCATCTGTTTCTTTCAACATAATATTAGCATCAAATGAAACGCTCCAAACTATAACACGTTTCAATTGAAGAAGTACTTATAATTGCGTATAATGCTGAACGCGTGTCAAATTTCTCTAAATACACGATGCAATATTTTAAAAGGTCAAAATACTTCATTTCGATATTATAAGAAAGAAGATAAACAGATTTATGTTGATACTACTAATAACTTTGATCCATACTTCCGTAACTTGAGAATAACCTGTGGGACTACCGCAATTATATGACATTTGCGTTATAACATTTGGAGCATTAGAAATAAATAGTAATATAGATGATGGATTTCAAAATTCTTATTATTTTATAACGATAATTTTAACAATAGCTAGCACTCGCTTCATGTATTAGGTGTACAGTCAAAATTAAGCTCTAAATTTAGACATTGTTAATCAATGTACTCTTCTCTTGGCATCTGCTGAAATGGTTGAAAGAACTTATATGTAGGTAATCAGGAGAAAAATTCAAGATACTTGAATAATTATCTGTGCAGAATCAGCAATATTATAATCGGTAAGCATTTAACGAGTTTGTTTACCTGTAATTACAAAATATTTATTCGTAGATAACTAAAAAGATAATTTTATTCAATATTACAAAAGGCAAAGTGAAGGAAAATAAAGAATAAAATATGCGAGAATTTAATTTAATTAAAATTAAAATATGTTAGCTGCTTCGGAATCGGTTGTTTGTGACCTGATATAATTTAATTTAAGACATTGAAGAAAAGGTGAAGTTGAGTTTATTACATATTTATACTAAAACCAGCAATTGTCTTTTAATATGTTATTTAAATTGCAAAAAAAATCGCCAGACGTGCGGGTCAATTCATCGAATTCTTTGTGTACGCAGTTAAAACGTATCTACGAACTCCAAGTCGAGGTCCGCGCTCGCAATTCGAACGTGCATGAACCCAATGTTGAGGTTCGTTGGGACCCGTCGCCAAAATAGACGCTCGGGCCGGCCGTGAGCCGCCGATGGCAGTGACCCCGGCGCACCCTGCGGCTGCAACGCCCCCGGCGCACTCCCGCGCCTGACGCCAGATCTACCCGAGCGCGACCCCCTCGCGTTGATTCTAAAAAACAACCACCCGATCTCTATGTGTTATTTCTCAAAGGTGATCCTTTTTCGGAACGCCGTAAATTAACTGAATTTTATGATTCAAAAACCACTTTAATGAATATAGTTGCGCGATTGACGAAAATAAAAGTAGGTTTTGAAAAAACTCGGTTTAAAAATTTCATGTAAGCTAATGCCATATCTTGACAAATCAAATAGACTGAAAACAGTTATTTTAAAATAAGATACCTTTCATTAATAAATATTTATATACAAATAATATAGAATTATTCGGTGTCTGCCCATCCGAGTTAGATTCGCCGATTGACTTTTTTTATTTTTTTTATGCGAAAAGTTGTCAAACGAGCAGACGGTTCACCTGATGTTAAGTGAATACCGCCGCCCATGGACAACTGCAACACCCGAGGGTTACAGATGCGTTGACAACCTTTTGAAAATTGGGCTCCAGCTACCTCACTCACCAGACGAAACGCGACAGCATTTGTCATACTTCCACTTTACGCTGGTCTTCTGTGAGGTCGTGGTACTTACCCGGACAGGCCTGCCCATGCGTGCAACAGCCGAGGCTGCTGCGTGGCCCTACCACCGTAGAACCTTGACCTTGCGGATGTCTTCGTAACGAAGACATCCGCAGTAGAACCAAGGTAACCGACATAGCTCAGAGGATTAGCAAGCTGAAGTGGCGATGGGCCGGCCATATAGCTCGTAGAACCGATAACCGTTGGGGAAGAAATGTTCTCGAGTGGCAGCCTCGTACTGGCCATCGCAGTGTAGTACGACCCCACACTAGATGTAGTGACGACCTGTGCAAATGTGCGGGAAGTCGATGGATGCAGATGGGTCATGATCACACTTCGTGGCAGTCTATGGGAGTGGCCTATGTTCAGCAGTGGACTCAAACAGGCTGAAATGATGAATGATGGTGATGATTCTTAAATACTTTTTATTTTCGTATACTTTTTCATATTAATTCACTGCATTGTTAACTTATGGAGTATTATCACAATTAACTAATTATCACAAGTAATTTCAAAAGTGTTCTTGTAGTTTAATCATAAACGAGCTTTCGTATTGATCTACAATAATGTTATGGTCAAAATATCCAAGATACTTGACGAAAGTCACTTTAAAAACCAGACAGACGGTGGACAGGTTCGTCTTACTAAACTAAAAATCGATTTTGTTTGTGTCGAAGTCCTTGCTGCAATATACTATTAAAATAATAAATCATGACATCTCTTATTTACCTCCAGCATACCTTCTCCGGCTACATCGCTCATTGCAATTATAAAAGGTGACAAGTGTTTATGTTATTATAAGGTGAAGATTCTTGATTTCCTTGTTATGTTCTAAACGAAACCACCCTACCTAAGTTCACGGCAAATCAAGTGACGTGTTGTCGAACGTGCTGGATGAACATCCGTGGACTATCGGCTGCAGATAGAGCGCTGGTCCAGTTCGGCACATAGCTTTTAGATATGTGTCCATTCTCTGTCCTATCTGTGAGATGGTTATCAGTGGTTATCGGTGCGCGTGCCCAAATGGCCACGCTGAATCGATTGCACGCCGGCCACGTCCGTCTTACGGAAGTGATAACGTTCATTTTATAGACGACAGCAGTGACCGAGTTCATGGTTAGAGTATTATCATCAATTACGCAGCTAAGGGAATTTTTTTCAAGACGTTTTACACAAAGCAAAGGAGATCTTAGTTATACTTTGTGACTCAACTTCAATTCTAACACTTAAATCTTTTTACTTAACTATTAAGCAAAAATGAAAGACAGGAACAAATAGTAAAGTATACATCACTTATTGTCGAAAAATACAGGAAAGAATTTATTTAATACGAACGTGTCTTTTAATTAAATATTCCATGATTTGTATCGAACACAAGCAAAATACGCAATAGGTCAAGGCCCCTCTAACACAGTTATATAGCAAAGCATTTGAAGCAATGGAAGTGTACGCTAATCTTTTAATTACGCATGGAGTCTATACGTGACAAAGAAAGCAAAAAGGAGTCTGGGTGTGCATGAAGTTAACAAATGTCACGTGGCAGATAACGTAAGAATACCTAACTACCTAACGCTAAAAGGTAACAATTGCCATTATATTCCAAAATTCAAATAAATGTATTAAAAATTTGCTAATTACACAAGCCTCTAGGATAGAAAAAGTAAGAATGGTATAAAATATTCATTCAGTTACCACTACAATTAAAAGAAGTACGACGTAATAGCCTACTACGCAGTTTAGCAAACATAATTATCTACCTATATCACAAGAACTTTAACGAATTCGTATCGGCTCGAACTCGAACTTGAGGCCCGTGATTTATAATGCGTTAATCGCGGAAGACCGAGGAACTGTGTGAAGGTTAAACGTTACAGCACACTCATGTGAAATGCGATTGTTATGCTGACTGGTTACGTTGGCTCGTTAAACTGTGGCGGAGCAATGTTTAAACTAATTCAAGGTCAAGTGAAAGAACGTGGAATGTTACCGCGCGGGCTGGATCACGAAAACGAACGTTTACATTACGATTTAGAATCGATTATTCAAATATAATGCCGGTCAACGCCATAGTTTGCGCCGTATAAGCAACAAAGGTCATCATACTCGTACGTAATACGAACGTGTGCAAGCCTGGATTAAATTACAAAGTAATATAGTCTCTATATTATATTTATTTGAATTAGATAATTTGTTTTATGCATAAACAATAATTTCACATATAAAAAGAAAACTGGAAAGAATTATCAACCCTCAAATGTAAATATTTAGTATTTAGCTTTATTATTGTCTCTATCGCTATGAATATCCCACGATGCGTTGTGTAGATAAGGCGTTTCTTCTAAATAGGTACGTTTAATGTCAAAATGTAGGAAAGAATCATATTTATTTGTATTTAAGAAAATTTTTCGTGAACGTAAGAAAAATTTACATGATTTTGGTTCGTTAAAAGTTTTTTCGTGCTACATGTACAGTAAGTAATGAAGCATAGGTAGTTAGGTTGAAAAATTAATAGAGGTGCTGGCGGATCGTTGCACTCCAGAGGTCATAGGGTAAGGTTAAAGTAGACGGCGGTCGGGCGGTGCAGGCGGCGGTGTCGCCGCCGCTGGGCGGGCGGTGCACTACCTGAGGGCGGGGGCGGCGGCGCGGGGCACGCTGCAGATTCACTTTCGTCCGCCCGCGGCCGCTTCCAAGCCAGTGAGAGAAAGTTGGCCGCGGCGAGCGAACGAGTCCCGCGAGTGGAGCGGCGCGCGCCGCACCGACCCGTAACGCCACACGATTGCGAGCCGCGTACACAGACGCGCCGAAATGTACATCTGACGCTGCTGCCCTAGTAACTGGACTTGTGCACGCGTGTCTCCATACTTGCTGGGTAGATTTTTGGGACTAGTTTGTTAGAACGATGCAGTGCTATCCGAAGTTGTCCCCTAAGCGCGAGCCCCCCGAGATGGGCTACGACCCGGAGATGCTGGGTGCCCGCCGGCTGGAGCTTCCCGCGCCGCCTGGCAAGGAGTTCCGTGCACCTGTGCTGCTGCCGGCGCCAGCGCCGCACTCCGTGATCCAATGCATGCGACCACCACCACCACCGCCACCACCCGTGCCACGTCTCCACAAGCCACCGCCTTTCGAGGAACCCTCTAGCTCCATTCCAGATCTAGGTTAGTTTTTAAATTATTTATATTGAGTTACTGTAACTGGAGAAAATATTCAAGTAGCAAAATCAACAGGTGTCTATGGTTGCCGTCTTGTTTATAGTTTTCAATTTTTTTTATCGTAAATTTTGTATTCATTCACTAGAGAGAATTGCTTCTAGATGCATGAGAGATGATGTCGCTGTTTTTCAAAGGATTCTCTATTGTCTTTATAATTATTTTATTGGTACGATGTCACGTTCAATGGCCTTGATGATGCGCTATAATAATTATAGCACGGTGTAATGATTGAATACAATTTTACTTTGCCTTGGCCACCGTGGATTTATACTTCCTGCTTCGGAAAATTGTAACAGAGCGTTTACAGTTACATAGCAATTTCCGGGTGATGACGCTGCCATACGAAGGTCGTATTTGTTAACCAACGTTATATATTACTTTGATGTCGCTGTGATTATGCCTTTTAATGTTTACAACAAAACCAATAACGCAATAAAGTACAATGTAAACAACGACTTAATGTCTAGTCTCGATAAAAATTATGACTTCAGTATTTTTTTATTTATGTTTAAGTAAAAAATAGTTTCATTTGAGTACGTTTAGTATCAGCGTAAATAAAAAGCGAAACATAATAAACAACCGACATATGTGCGAAATATAGAATTGCGATAAATATTATAATTTAGTAAATAAATAATTAACAGCCTATAAATGTTCCACTTCTGGGCAAAAGACTTTTCGCGAGTGAGAGTATTAAGGCGTAGTCGACAACGGGACCTTACTGAGGATTCTTGACTTCAAGTACTTATCTTTGAGAATTTTTTTTCACTATTTCGAAAATATGTACGTATTTTCAAGATGTTTTCCTTCACCGCAGACCACGTGATAAGTCAGCACATAAAATTGCAATTGCAAATTGATTGAGCCCGAGTATCCCCTGTCAATAGACGTATCCACCATTTTTAATTTTGCGGTTTTGTTTGATTGTAGAGTCCCAGTATCTTTTACATTGTACTGCAACAGTTTATTATATAGGGCGCAAGACCAAAAAACTCATCAGTACTAAACTCGTCTGCTTTTAAATTTATTAAATGCTGTAACCATCTGTAATACCGCTTTAAAATTCGATTAGCTTAAAAAAGTTTCCCTAGGACAATATTTAAAACAATAAATAGCATTTATCATAATTTTAATTAACTATAGTTTTTCATTAATACAGAATGAATTAGCGAGGTTTTGCAATTAAAACTCGTATACAAGACTGAATTTTTTTTTATCTTCTTTATTAGACACATTACTTTATTTTTCTAGAGCATTAATATGAGCCTTAAAAAAGAAAAGTTTTAAAATTAATAAAACGTGCTTTGTTCAAACATAGGCTAACACATCTGTCTAAGCTGTTGGTTAATATAAAATATTCCAACTCATCTTTTTTTAACTGTATCTAACTTCGAATGTAAACATTGAAACAAGAAAATGAGATTATGAAAAAAATATGAACATAAAAAAGGTCCGTTAGCTTACATAAAAGGTCATATTTATATTGAATACCGAAAGCTATCATATGAAACTAAAAAAAATCAAAACTAGCAGCCGGATGAATGGGGAATAGCGTTTTTCCCGCTACAGACGGGCACGGGCGGCGTCAGCTCTCGTGTGATGTATGTGTACACACAAAAAATAATCGCGCTAACAAATTTTTCGCGAATGTCAGATTAGATAAATATCGCAAGGTCAGTGCGACGAACGCGCGGTGACGGCGCGTCATTCGGTGTCATTAAGGTCACTGTGACATTGGGCCGACAGCGGTGACAAAATAATAGTCCCTATCTTATCTGGCAATGTCAGCCGCGCGGGCGCAGGTGAGCGCGACCCATGCACCCTGTCAGTTCGCGAACCAGCGGGCCCGCTCAGCGAACTGTCATTGATCTGTCGAATGACTCACGTGATGGTGATTCGTGCGCCATATGCGCCTCCTTTTAGAAGGTGACATACGGCGGCGATTCAGCTGATAATGAGTGGTTACCGCCTCACGTGGATATACGCAACAGTAATGGGGTTCTTAACGCCTGCGCAAGATGGTAAGGCTCTGGTTATCGGCCACGTGCGTGACCATTGGCAAAATAAAATAACTAAACAAATTATTTTACACCATTCTCCTTAATTCTCTCCCAGGGCGTCTATTAAATTATTATTATAAGGGGTTTACAGGAGTCTACTGCGCGGCACTACCACAGTCAATTTGTTTGACCAAAGCAAATGGTTCTAGCTCCGTAATCTAGTTACGATTATCAAATAGGTCTCAGACGATAATACTGTTTTGATTATGTATGCCTTTATAATATGTTATTAAACGTTTAAAGCTACGATTAAATATGAAAATGATTACATCGCTTGTCCACGTACTACTTGGTAATATTCGTCTATATACAGCGTGTCGTTTAAACCACGACAATAAATGAACACACGTCTAACACTACTTGCCAATAATCGTAAAAAACATTAACATTAAATAAATCCATAATGAAAAAAAAATGTTTTTCTAACCAACTAATTAATTAAAAAAAATACAAAATTTGTAACACCCTATACAACTGATTCATACATTCAGAGACTTTTTCATTCGTTGCCACAGCGTCGCATTACAAGCCTCTCCTTCTAACAGTATGTTTTGTCTCTTTTAAATTCATTCAACCCTTTCATATGCTTTGAGACTTTTACAAATGAACTTTACGTTACAGTTTTATACGTAAGGTGTTCTAAAATTCTTTGTTTTGGAATTAATTTAATAACTCTGTAAATATTGATGTTTAAAGAATTTAAATGTTTAATACAATTTTAAAAAGTCCTCTATATATGTGTGTTCATTTATTGTCGCGATTGTAAAGACACGCTATATACAAGTAAAATGTCTATAGAAATATAAAAGTCAAGTCAAGTTCACAAATTCTTATCCCAGGGGGCGTGAACAAATGAATTCATGCGAACACTTTCACAAAAACAATACCAATACACACCAACATTTGTACAACAACGTAATAATGTCTGGTCATTACGATGCGCTATATATAAAGAAACCCGTTTTATTTATTTTTTCTCTATTTATCCTATGGCATAATAATTAACATTGTTGCTATACATATAAATGCCAATTATATGTCAAAGAGTCAACCGTCGGGCACAATGTGTTATCACCATAACCTTCTGTAAGAGCAAATTACTTCCTGCTGATATTCATATATTACGCGATGTATATCTAAGTATTGAGATAGTGGAGTTATAATTGTACTCGTTGATTTATATCGGATTATAATTTTATTATAGAAATGTTATATTAAAAAAAAGATAAGAAAGAGCAAATTATAAGTTCCCTAGAACGATTTCGCAAATAAAGCTGTTTACGATTTTTCGATACAACTTACAACATCCATCTATCAGATTTTCTGTAACCATAATATTACGAAGAGTTTCAAACGCGGAGAATTTAAATACAAATAAATCTCAATAAAATACGTAAATTAGCTTTCCTAAAATTATACGTACATTATTTTATTCAATCAATTTTCACTGATTTATGTTTTCTTAAAATGATAAACCTATTAGGATAAAATTATCTATTATGTGTTTTAGAGGTATTAAATAAAAAACTTTTTACTATAGAAAACGTTTGTAGAGTATATTTTTGCTATTATTTGAATTAACTTACATCATATACTGCCGACTCCGTGGCGCAGCTGCCAAAGGCTTGGCTTCAGCGTCGGGGCTCGTGGGTTCGATTCCCACACGGGACAACTATTGGTATGGCCCAAAGGTAGTTGTTTCGCATCTGGGTGTTTGTTAGCGTGAAATTTATGTATTTAAAACGTCCTTACAACACAGGATAATGTCATCCTAAAGTAAGGGCTATGTTTTAAAAAAATCTATACATGCAATTTATGGTAAATATAAAAACATCGTTTTCCATAAATTGTCGTGAAATAGTACTAGTTTTATTATCATGGACCTAAATTGTTAAAAAAATTAACCAATTTTTTTAAATTATTTGTTTTCTTACATATTACAAGGACCAATTAACAAACAATACAGTCTAAACATACTAAATTGATGCTGCTCATGTTGTAAATAGAGACATGTAATTTACTTATTCATTACATTTAATTTGTTAAAACGAAAAGAACGTAAATTCATAATTAAAGTTAAATATTGCACATAATTTTTAATAGATCGAGATTTCTTGTCAATAAATAACTAGTAAGATATCTTTTACGATAATAAACTGTAGAAAGTTAAGTTAAACGTTAAATCTAAGTTGAAAGTTGAAGATGTTGCCCATTTGTCTCGACAATATATTAGCACTTAAATCATACTTAATGTTTTTTGTTTTTAATCATTTCTCCCCTAGACTTTGGTCCATTGTTTTTTCGTTGTAATGTTTAGTTTAATGTTACTTTTCTTCTACTAGTTGCAAATTATATCATTGCGCAGTATACTTCACTCGCTTACCGATAAGATGACATGAGAGGGGACATTTCGGTTACAGAGTCAAAGACGCTGAACGTTTTATAGCCAATAGAGATATTTATAAATATTGAATTAATGAAATAGTAATTATATCTCTTTCTTTAACGCTTCACAGTGACCTTTCCTTAGTTTGTACGTAACGCACTAATGTAGGTTTTCTCACTCAATAAGTACGCTGCAAATAGAGCAAAAGAACTGAACGTTAACTTAATGGCCCTCGTATTAACAATTAAGTTAAAAAACAAAAGAGGTGTCATAAATTCATGTTATTTCGGTTTTATTATCTACAGCGAAGTTTTGGGATGGAGATGACTAATTATCGTAAACGGGTCAACAGTTCACCACTTTTATTTTGACAAATATTCACTACGCTGTATGGATGTGGACAAAGTAAACTGTATCGACTTCAAACGGATACGTGCGTGCCAAATTCGCGCTTCCGTATTGCATCCGCACTTAACTATAAGTTACAATGTAAACAGAGCAAATATATAATCACCACGCGCGTACCTACGTTATAAACGGTTGAACACACAGGGAAGCGGCAGCTCACAACCTTGCCAGAGGTCGCGGCGCGTCATGCGCAACATTCGCAATACTCAAACTGTTTCGTAACGAACAATTAAAGTCACATGCAACCAATAGTTTCTGACAGCACGCCGCCTTTTTGTTCGTGCGATCAACTCGAGGCTAGCTAGCGCCCCTTCGCTCCTCACCCCATCCCCCGATTTCTTTGAACCCCTGAATACCCCTGTGATTGTATGACCGAACATAGGTCACGGACGTTCGGTTCACAGGCAGAGTCAAGGCTCCTCTAGCGCTGTAATATTATCAACGTAGAAACCTTTGAGTTCACACGTTTATTTATTTATTTATTCCATTAGCACACAGAATGTGTATATACAAAGGCGGACGTAATCTACTAGTATCAATACAGTATTATTTACCAATCACCCTTTGGGTGGTTCAGAAAAAGTGGTGCATTGATTATAAAACTATAAAAGAGGAAACATTGAAAAATCAAATTAAGGAATGTAACATAACATACTAATCATATTAAAAATAACAATAACAGTATTCTGTGTTCTAATATTAACAAACATTAAAATAAACATATTTAAATACAATACACCACATGCACGCATACATACACCACCATGTACCTAATTTTACCATGTACGCCAATCCCTTTCTGGATATACATATTTCGTTCGCAATACTAATTTGTCGAATAAATATTATATAAAAAAGTAAATATTAAATTAAAAAAAATTTTCTACATATTTTATGTATAAATCAAATTTTTCGCAATCGATAATTGAACATTAAATGTCGAAATTACATTTATTTATAATATCGGTAGCGATAAACTGGTCGTGATGCAACATCTGATTCATGTTTGTAATCCCATTATATAATGCCATTATAAATAAACATCATCAACGTTATAATCATCTATTTTTTTTTTCGACATGATTTTGGCGATAGTGACGAAACAAATTATGGCGATTGTAAAAGGTAAATGGCATTATATTGAATGACATCTCCGTTTAGTACAATACAAACAGCAAGGCTTATAGCGCGCTAATGTCTTTTTCGCAAACTCACACACGAAGGTCCCTTTGGATTACTGTCTATTCTTTTCACGGCCACTACGCAATGTATATTACGACAGCCATGAAAGATAATACGCGGATGGTTAGCTGGCGTATAAAGTGATTTCCGTAATGCAAAAATTTGGTCACAAATAGAGTATTAGAACTGTTGCTACTCGCTTCACCTCGTTTCGCTTTTATTTTGATTATGCTCAATTTTGGTTGCGGTTTATCTTTTGCTTACTTTCCACATGCTTTGTTAAGGATAATTCTAACATAACCTTCATGTCTGTGAATACATTTTTAGATAGTTTAAAGTCAGTGTTTTAATTTTTTTGTTAGTTGGCACCAGCACCTTGAGCTTAAATCTCTGATCCGCTCCAAATAAAATTGTGGTTCACTGCAATTTTTTGTGCTAATTTGCCACGTGTTCGATGGTGAAGGTAAAAATTGCCCGCTTTCAGTTGTCTTCCATGTATATGGAAGACAATTGAAAGCGGGTATCCGTAGTGGCGGGATATACCCTAATACTCTCCGTACTCTGTAGAGGGACATTATACAATATAGGCTGATAAACTCACATGTCAAACCTGTATACTGAGTGTGAATTTTCATAGGAAGAGATGAGAGTTGTTTCATTGAGATATTACAAAAACAAAATAAGCAAGAACAAGAAAATAATGTAACCGTTTTCATATTTCAATGTTTTCCCTTAGCGCTTACAGTGAAGGTCGTTGATAAGGAATCGCCTATGTTACGGCGCATAACTACGAAGATCGTTAAAATCTCGGCAAACAGAAATAATAGCCTTATAAGCATTTGAAATCGACGAAAGGTATATTTTGTTACTTTTGTTTTGATTTTGTTCGTGTTACCCACAGCGTCGATAAAAGTAATTTAATCTTTTGACTAAGTCTTACTGTTTATTAAATAAAAGTTACGAATATAAATGTGGTGTTTGTGCTAGTTCTGATAATATTCTTGGATTATAAATCATTTGAATGTGTTAACAACAATATTGTTCTTAAGTTATAAGTAAAGAAATAACTAACGCCCAGGAAAAGTATAGGATAGGCCATTGAATTAAACAACAATCTTTACTATATATGTATTAATTAAATAGGCTGTGTTTTTATAAAATGATTTGTACACATTCAATATTATTCCAGTTAAAACATCGCAACGTAGCGTCGTATAAGTGTAGTTATATCGAGTGATCTCGCCCGTGACCCACGCATGGAGCGGCGCGTTGCCATGGTCACGGTCGATCGATGCCGGCTCGGGATGCACCCGGAACTGTCACTGCTGCTTTTAGTCTCGGCGACTTTGAATTTTAAACGAGATAGATTTTACCCAAACTCACATTTTATATCTTCTATCTTCATCTTGTTTAATTTATTATTTCCTGGTATGTAAACTAAAACAAGATTTTGATTTTTAGTACCTAGAACTTGCGAAAATTATTGGTATTATTTAATTATATTTTTTATATTATCTCAGATCCAATAAAGCAGAAAACAAAATAAATTCTATTAAAAGTCTACAATAATTAATACTATACATTACCTTCCTAATAATCCAATGCTTTAATGCGACGAAGGGCAATGGACGCGAGCTCTATAATAAAACCTTTCTATACATAAAAGGAATTTCACTACTGCTACCAACCAACATGGCTGAATTTGAATCACTTCGTTAACTCTTTATATCGTGATCCCATTTTCGGAATATATAGCCACGTTAAAAATAATAAAGAAATAAATAAAAAACTTTGATAACCAAATCAGCTGTATCGTAATGAACACGACGAAAAGTTTAATGATAATAACTAACATGTGTATGCGCGGTGTACCTTGCTTGAAGGGCATTTTCCAGGTTAACTAACAACGAGATTATTTTTTACATTGTGGTCAGGACCATAGAGTAACTTATTATACTTATATACTGGTCAGGACCTTATTACAAAAAAGGGTTGTGCGCAAAACGAACCTTTGGTACTAAGGCAACAGATTGTGTGAGGCAGACTTCACGATATGACGCCTCGACGTCTTACGTCACTGCTACGACCACTGGCCCATTGCACAGGTGTGCAATGTCAAGCGTAAAAGTTGAATGTAAAATGCGTGAGTAGATGGCTACCAATACGCCAGCTAAATACGCCTGGGTATGATTCTCTGCTTAAATACATTAAATATAAAATATATTCTCAAGAAGGACTGAATTTGTAAAAATGGAAAATGTATTTATTATCTAGTGACAGTTCACAAGACCTCTGTTTTTTAAAACTTATAACCAAAATATAATTACAAATTGTCTTAGTTGATTCAATTGAGCACAAATTAATGTATACTTCAGATTGTATATATTAAGCAAATCAAGAGTAGGTACTGAAAGTGATTCTACACTTTCATTTTGAATTTATTTAGTTGTTTTATAGGTTGTAACCTAATTAGTATTAGTTAAATATATATTCTCATATCATATACATTAATTTTATTTTTATATTCATCTTACAATTCCATCTTAACCTTGTAATACACCAAGTAGAGTTCACTACCATGAAGTTCGTTAGCTGTTACCATTCGACGCGTTTCTCACTATAAATACACCAGCAACAAACGTCACTGCTGCCTGAACTAACACATGCGCAAGACTCTCGCCATCTCATTTGCACTCGTATTAAACAGTAGTTCTGTCCGAGTGCATACGAATGCAAGGAAAATTTTCTTACATATAATCTCCTCGTTGATTCAGTTCTCCTGGTAGACTCAAATGACGTTAACAGTATTTTGGCCAACACCACACAATGTGAACAAGTGTAAAAAAAATCGAATTGAAAACCTCCTCCTTTTGAAGTCGGTTAAAAAAAGCCATTATTTATTTCTGTATACATAATATTTGTTTTTACATTTCTTAAATAATAAATTGTCGTACGAAAAAATATTAAATTATTTTTATCATTGTTTTAATATTAAAATTAATGGAAATTCATATTAATAATATTTAGGTAATATTTAAAAACGTTCATTAGTCTAATATAAAATTCTCGTGTCATAGTGTTTGTAATTACAAACACTGTGACAAGTTCAATTGAACTCCTCCGAAACGGCTCGACCGATTTTCATGAAATTTTGTGTGCATATCGGCCAGGGTGGAGAATCGGACAATATCTATTTTTGATCCCCCTAAATGTTAAGGGTGGTTCACCCTAAACATTTTTTCTACCTTACAAATAATTTATTTGGCAAAACAACGTTGGCCGGGCCAGCTAGTAGTTATATATTTCTTACTAAGAAGCTATGTTAAAGAAATATTAGGAATTTCTATTTATGTATTAACGTATCGTTATTCAATGCAAGCAAGTACCAGGGCAGTATGTTAGTGCAGGAGGTTAAATGTGCACGCGTATTTCTGATACGATCTGATACGATCAAATCGGTTTAGGTACTATGCAATCGTATCGAAATAAAGTACAGACATGTTATTAAATATTATTAAATAATTACTTATAAAAAGGTCATTCAATAACACTTCGTTCTTTGCACTTTCGGCATGTTCTTGATAAGTAAACAATAAAATAAATTTTAATAATGAAGTCTCGCTTATACGATGCCGATGTTTTTGCGTAATAAAGTATCTTTAAGTTGCATGCATTATTAGTTTATATCAGAAAACATGAACCCAAATTACTGACTTCCGTTATTTCACGTAATACTTTTAAAGTATTTATGAACATTTATGTGACAATATAAATAAATACATTTAAACAATAAATATTTCTGCTTTATTCGTACAAAAAATAAGACGAGCACCGTGGCTTGTTAATACGAAGCAGTCAATTAAAAAACTAGCATAGTTTTTTCTTAAGGTCGCTGGATACATTTAACTGAAGACCAGGTTAGCATGACTCTAAATACATGGTAATTTAACCGTATCGAACGATATTTTTTGTCTTTCTTCTAATGTAAAAATATTAATAGTGGTCTATATTGTTTTGGAAACCTTTAACGGCTTTGGACAGCCATAATTGCATAATTGCATACAATTCAAATGATCCGTGAATCATAACACTGGGCATAAGTATATAAATATTTTTCCTCTCAGAGAATAAACTGTGATAGTGATATACACATCGCGGAGATTGGTTAATGGTGAATATAGGTAAGAGAATAATTAATAAGTATGAAATTTTCAATGTAAATTACAAATATGAATTTATGAATCAAGAACGGGGTAACGGCGGCTTGGATTGCCTCAAAGCATTTCCGAAATAAACTAGAAGTTGCGGCAATAGGAGCTATTCAAAATACGAGAAACACATCGCGGGCGCAAGCAATTACGAAACTGCACTGAAAGTAGATAGATAATGCTCTCGCTTTTACCCTGTTACTGCACACGGTTTCGAAGACGATGCGGACTGCTGTGTCTGCGTCGCATTAGCTGTTGCTTTCTAAGCAGCGAATGTAAGGTGCCAGTGTGTGCGTCAAACGAGTTAGCTGGTGCGTTCTAAGCAGCGAAGCAAGTGAGAGTGTGTGCGGCATGTTAGCTACAGATTGGTAAACAGCGAACGTTAGTTGCCAGTGTCTGCGTCGACGTGTTAGCTGTTGCTTTCTAAGCAACGAAGGTGATGTGCGCGCCATGCCTTGCAGTTCAAGTTTAGTGTTGCGCCCGCGCGACGGTAATTGCGGAGATCGTTGCACTTCTAACGCCCCGCGTCGGGGCAACGAACGCGCGCAGCTGCCCGGGAAATAGATCCCGTCCGGACTATTTCAGAGCGACCGCTTAGATACCAGTCGCATGTGCATTGCTTGCCCCACACTAACGACCTACCTGTAACTTGAGAAGACAAAAAACGAGAAGGCGTAAGGCCGCTTATGGCAAAATATGCCGCGCTAATAAAACTTGCCGTAGAACAATATCACATGGACATACATAATAAAGTGCATGATTTTTTTCAGCAAATTATTCTTAGCGACCGTCATTTTATGGAGAGAATTTAAGCTTCAGTTTAATATTTAAAACCGAACGATGTATATAGTTGAAGGAAAACACGAGAATGATTATGGAATACTTTGTGTGAGTATAAATGTAGAGCGGATGGGTCGGCTCATTTAATTACATGCAGTTCACCGGGGCGTTGTACTTTAGATGCAATTCAAAATGCTCACGCGCACTTGCATGCGAAAGTGATTCACGGCCGCATCTAGATATTTTCGATTGGGTTTCATTGTGATATTGTTTTATAAGTATATGTATTCTTGTTTACTGTTAAGGTCGTCTTAAAACAATTGTAATATATTAGCGCAGATATAAAAAAAATATGTTTAGTATCTCAAGTATCTTTAGTATCTCTTTCGTTTTCAAGAAATCATAAGGGAAATGAACCATCCTTTAGATTTCATTCAATAATTGGATAGGTGAAACTTACGAAACAAGTAATATGCAATGATAACATGTATTTTATTTATATTATATGCTAAGTGAGTTTAAATAAATCTGACCGCAACCAGGATATCGAAACTACTTACACCATCTGTTTATTGAACATATGACCATAATTGAGTTTTTCGTTTGTAGGTATTTATGCAACAAGATACGTAGGGCATAAAAAAGGATAGAAAAGGAAAAAATATTATTTCAAAGAACTTTTAATTATAATTTAGTTGCAATATGTATGTATAATATCACAATAATAATACTAGAAGATGAAATATATTTCATTATTCTTATAAAATAAGGTATAATAAACAACTATATTTATATCAAAAAAATTTCTTTATTCTTATAAATAAAAGTATTTGCAATCTTAAGCAACAATAATAATTATGCAAACTTCTACGAACAGGGCGAGTCGATATAAGAGCGGTTTACACTCAAGCCGGTGGGAATGTTCGCTAAATAAAAAAAAACTGCAGCATTAGAAGTATCTAAGCAAGCCGAGTGCAGTGGCCGAGTAGTGCCAGTGACCCGCAAGTGAGCGCGGTGAGCATTCGTAGCGCACCGCTACGAAAACGCTACGAACTATCAGATGATCTAGGCACCAAGTCGATCATTAAACTACTATACGTTGTGCGTATATATTGATATTGTAGTGTTTGTCTATATTGATGACAGAATTAATTTATTTTACAACCAATTAATTGATAATTTACATATTTATAAGATTTGGGCATAACAAAATGGAATAAATCTTTGAGATAATTCAATTTAACAGTATTGAAAAAACGATATTATGCTTTACAACAATTTTTCCTACAAAACTCTTCAATTTCCGAGGCAGTATTGTGCATCGTCGTTGTATTGCATGCTTAGGTTCCAGAGCTGTGGTTCAAAGGTATAAGATAGTATTCAACAATTTTTTAAATGCGATTGTTTACTACAATGGTATCACAGAAATAATTGTAATACTATAACTAATGAAAATCAAAACATTTTTAGTAATAAAACAAACAGTTCTTTGTTATTTAACCAGAAAATTTATTACTTTATTTATTTATGGCATAAAATAACTATTTGAAAAAGATAAGATTCCAAATGTGTTTCACATCAAATGGATTTCCCTGAAGCTTTTCCTACAATACGAGTATGTGTTGGAAAAGCTATGACGTTTCTCGATCAATACAGGGAATTCCTTACCATCTTTTAGGTATTATAAGTACGATGTTGAACATGATATGAGTCATCGTATAAACTAGTGTGTCAATACAACTTTTGAGTTTTACAATACTATTTCATTTTATTAATGTATACAAATTGGAATTAAAATTTAATTTGAATTTAATCAAAATTTAATGCCTTATGTAAAATTTATTGCAAACAATGGCTGATTTAAAATATTCAAAATACTTTTAAAATTAAAGTGAAAGGGAAATTGAAATAATTTATTCTTAAATTAAGATTTTATTGTATACTTTATGACATACATACTTATAATTATATTGTTTTATATGTACGTAACTAAATACAGTCATATGTTCGACGTTTGAATAATATCGGAGTCGCAGCTGAAGGAAGTGGAAAAGTAACTAAAACCGTGAGCTGTGTCGACCCAGGTAATTGGTAAGAGTAATTTTAACCTACCCGCCCGTAGGCGGTAATCAAGTTTTCCGGAAGTCTACAACCTCACCATTAATAACACGGCATGTAAAATTACCAAGTGCACACTTCTGTTTCTTAGATATAGGATGAAAGCAGCCCCCTTACATTTCGCTGTTAAGTTTACTTTGTCACAAACATGTTACATGAATGTGTCTTTAAAACCAACATTTTTAATTGAATTTGAACACGTTGAGTTTTCCTTCCTTCTTTGACGGTTATTTTTACTTTATTTGTAAAGTGGTTCTACACGAACTGAATTTTTGCTAATGTATCAAAAGAAACTGAGTTCCAGATATGAAAACACGTTGTGGTTGCTTAATAAAACTACTTTATTGATTTTATCGCGTGTAATTATAAAATAAAATCTTGATAAAATCTTACAGATAAGATGAGAACAGTTTTAATTATAAACAACTACAAACTTAGTTTTTAGTGTGAACATTTTATATACAAATAGGAAGTCATTCATCTGCTAAAGAAAATTTTCACTTTTTAACCGACTTAAAAAAAGAAGGAGGCTCTCCATTAGACTGTATTTTTTTATTTTTGTTTCCTCAGAACTTTCGACTGAGTGAAACGATTTTGATGATTCTTTTTTCTTCGAAAGCTGGTGCTTCCCATTATTAATCTCATTGGTTTTGGATCTTGGGCTCCGGAAATACGTAGGGAACTTCTGAAAATCAATTATAAAATATACGGAGCGAGATATTTGAAGTCGGTTTTGTTAAGAAATAATAAAAAAAATGTATTATCTATATTTCTTATGTTATTGTGCAACTTTTAATGACTGGCAACCTTCGCTAGTGCGGGCTATGGTAAAGTTGTCGATACAGAGCGGGTGCGCGAGATTTTTGCCGTCTGCTGGCCCCGCATACAGATGCGGCGCGCGGGTCGACCCGCGGCGGCCGACGACCCGCCGCCGGCGTTTGACCCCGGCTGCGCTGCGGACCCTCTTGGCACCGCTTCGACACTCGCCAAAGAAGAACGCTTGCGAAAGGTCCAACCTTGCATGAAGTTTTTGCGTTCTCAAATTGCCATTAGAAAATGTCGACTGAAGAATATTACAAAGACAAAGCAAAATTTGACAATTTGACCATATCATTTATGTATTAAACGAGTAACACAAGCTGAAATTTATGATATTTTGCAAGAAATATTAGGTGCACGTATAAAAATGTAAAACAAGACTTATTCAAAGAATGGAAATCCAAAATCTAACTTACAAAACTCACATAAAAATTCTGTGTTTCAATCTCTATCCGAGCTTATATAAACTGAATCGTTAAATGTAAAATAAACAAAAATAATTATCAGAATAGGTTTAACTAACCAAACTATATCATGTACGACCATGATTAATTGAGTGTGTTTGTATGACGTATAATATAGGTCGAAGTTGAAGTTTAATATGGGAGCCAGTGAGTCACAGAAGCGATGCCTAAATAGCTCAAAAGACTACTAGATAGGTCCACAGAGTGGAATATTTACTATATATTAAAGTCATGCTTGACATCTGTGTACACTGCTATCTTGTTAAAGTGGGATGCATCAATGACGCTACCAAAGTACTTTGTAATGCAGCTGAGAAATGGAATAGGGCCGCAGAACTTGAACGCGAGTCGATGCCCGCAGCCAAGGCCCGCACGGTCAGGGACGCGCTATCTAACTCGTTTACAATTGCAATATCATAAATCATAATGAACGCTTTATTCCGTTTATAATATTATACGAGTGGTTACTCATATATAAATAATTGGTGTAAAATAATAAATAGATTCACGTCTCCAATGATTGCAATAAACGTAAGGGTAGGGTTTAGGTTTTTGCGATAAACATATAGGTAGGTTTAGGGTTTTGAGACAATTTATTACAATTTTCTCATTCCTTGCGGATTTAAATTTATTAATAAAGATTTCGTGTTACAACCTTATAAAACTTAGCTTTCGTTTAGTATTGCACACGATTTCGCAAATGAGTCGCGTATTTTCGGCACCTAAATTTCGAAACTTTTATCAACAGATCTCTTTCAAGACTCCATATTTCATCCGTTGGTTTATTTATTTATGTAATATCTACTCTGTTAAATATATTCAAATTGACTGCATGGTAATTAGTTTCGTGTTCAACTGTTAAAAATCAGTACTTTACCGTTCCATCAATTGCTCACATGCAATTACTTCAGTAAAACTTTGTTTTTCGGAAATACATAAGTAACAGTTGAAAATACAGTGCATACAGTGGACAATGTTTTTCACTCTATGCAATTCACATGGTTTTAAATGACCGAAGTGAAAGAATGGCTGTGTACATAAATGACTTAATTTCTATTTTGCGAAAAATGTAACTATGGTCGTTTTATTTGTTACATTAATATACCTTTACTGCAGGTTTATTTAACTTATAATCAAAAGACTGAATGTCTTTCAATGCCAAAAATAATTAAAACCACGGAATCGTATATGGAAATGCCATTACAAGTAATTAACATTAATTAGTATTAATCTGAAAAAAGGCGGTCTGAATCGAATAACGTACTTATTCTACAAAGCAATTCGATTGAAAATTACTATATTTGATCAAGTATCGCAGAAATCGGGTTAACAAAAGATCTTCTCAGAGGCGGGTAGTTAGTAAAGTATCTTGCATGGAACCTCGAATTTTCGAGACGCGTCACTCTTGTCTCTTTTCTGCGACAGTAACAATGCGGGGGATATCTCAGACATGTCCAAAGTTGTTTCCCCCACTCGCCTTCTTTCAGACGCATCATAACCACCACGGGCCTAAAGTTGCCGTTACAGACGGCATTGTGAATTGCAATCACAACCGCGCATGTAGTGCATGTGTCTCTACGTATGTGTGCCTGGTAGCACGACGGTGCGGAAACGAGGTGCGTCGGGCTTCTCCCGTCTGGCCCCACACCATGTCCCACCCTGTCTGCAAGACCCCCCACGCCCCGTTTGCAACCTCCCCCTCCCCCATTCGCCCCCTTTGTAATTCACTCTCACTAACCCACTGCAGCACAGTCAATCATGCATATCGCAGTCTATCTAATTCAAGGCGACGGCTACGACGCACGCGATTAAAAGCGCAGACTGTCTGTTACTGTTTCTAGTAGAATGTGTATTTTGAACTGTGTACGTATGTACACAGTTCAAAATACACATACTACTAGAAACAATACTTTTACCTACAGCTTCACCTGCGGTCCTTTCTTAAAAACAAAAAGAAATAATTTTTCATGGTGAAAAAATTATCATGAATGTGTTTTTCAAAAATTGTTAAGTAATTGCGATTAATGTAGTCTTTTTATTATGACTATGCTTAAATGACAATAATCTTCATCATATGTCTTAACCTACATTGAACATTTTTGTTTTGTCTGTATCTTATTCCGTTTGGTGGTCCAAAGTTTCGAATTTCATATAGCATAATATTTTTTTACATACTGTCAAGTATGCCAACCAGACGTTTTGTTTCCAAATTCAAACAGCCCATGTCTCCCTTCTTCAGAGTTTTTATTCACGCGTCATAGCCGGCTTCACTTAAAAGCGTCGATGCATACATACCGCTTTTATAATGTCTGCAAGTCGTCGGTGAAAGCGCCGGGGTAGCGGGGTTGAAGGGAAACGCACGGGGGAGAGGGGAGGGGGGATGTGCCCCCACGTCTAGACTGGGTCGGTAGTTTTCCGGGATTCATCCAGCTTTGACTGCAGTGCTCACCCACTCATTGCACTATACCCGTAGCTAAAGATATGTACATGGAAACGTCTGAGGACCCTCGTCGTCCTCCTCGCATTAGACGCAGTTTTTGTATTACCTTTTCCTTTATGCATGCAGCTGTTAAAGACGCGAAGGAGCAATTGATGCTCGTATCTGTAAAGAGTCTCTTTAGAGCCGAGTGGAAACAAAGATTTATCCATTTTTGTTTTAAGCTAAATGTCTACATTTTGTGTACGACTTTTGAATATATTCATCACTGCTGGGCAAATATCATACCTGGCCTATTGGTATATATATATGTTTATTTGCGAATTATATTTTTTTATTCTTTTAATTTACTTGATATCAATCGATTTTAATTTATACGACGTTTCCTTCATCCCTGAGTCGCATAAAAAAATCAATAACGTATTAAAAGCTCACTTAACTTATTAATCTTCATAGCTATGATTTTTTTCCTACTAGTATAATTCGAGTTTAACTTGTATACGTTTGACCAAATGAAAGGACAAGGAACAGTTACGCTACGAAAATGGTTTCATGCATTTCAGTACATTACTTATATATTATCTATAAGTTAGAATATTTAATTTGAAACAAGAACAGATACATACTTTTACGCGATATTGTATTCAGTTGAGGAAAGTTTCGCTGTTATTATCGAACATTATTCTATTGAATAACGTTTTCACGAATTATCCTATTATCCTTGCTGCTTTTGAACTAGTTATTAAGGTTTCATTGTACATTTCTTTGAAATAGCTAGCAGTCAACTAATGCCTCACCGGACACCATTACCGTTATAACGTGCTGATAGAGTCTCTTGTTGCAGCCTAAACAATTCATTTGCAGTTCGCAAATAGGAACATCCAGTGAACTAGTAACAATAGGTAATTTCCATGTAATAACTCTTTGTTATGGTCACCCCACGAGGAAGTCTATGAATCGTAGTAGACGATCTAGAAAATGTAATAGTCCTATCACGATACATTCACATCTTTCGTTAAAATTGGCTGAAAATGAATGTCACTAATTGTACAGTTTTTCTAAAGCTTGAAATGTGACTAATACCCAACATAAATACGCATGGGTGGGTCAAAGAAAAATAACATTTATGTCAATTTAAGTCGCTCACCACCGTTCTAGTCTGTGTATTTGAGATGGGAGCCAAATGTCGCTGTACGCAGTTATGAGTCACAAGTATTTTATTACGTGTCTATCTGCCGCTGCGGCAGCGTTGCACTTGAAGGCAAACTTACGCAATTGCTTAGTCTCTACGTTGTGGCAGACGAAACGTTCACAGTCTCGAAATAGTGTGGCTAATTGTGTTTCATAACAGGCGGCTGAAGGGTCGGTACGAAGGTATATTTAGCTGTGCGGGGTGAGCCGCGCGGGGGACGGGGCGCACGCGGAAACGTAGGGCGGGCGGAGGGCGTTGACCGTGAACGTGGGGCGGCATCGATCTGGCATCCATACCCTCGCGCAACGGGAAAGTGTACGTCGACTGCGGCGAGCGCCGCCGCGTAGCTGCAACTAACGTCACCACTACGCTGTTACAATAGTTTCGAGTACGTTGCAAAGTAGTGGGCGTTGGTAACGCATTCGGGAAGTTGTGACGAGGATAGATTTTGGATGTTTCAGTATTTTTTTTCTCCACAAACATATATGTACACATAGTTCTTTGCTTATGTCATTCGTTTATAGGCGTGTTGTTCATTTTTCCATAAATTATATGAATATTTAATGAATTATACACGAACGTAGCACGTGGTTAGTTGCCCAAAGCATCATACAGCGTTTAATAACACATTTTACTGCAGGGAAGTTCTTTACATGCATGAGATCTTTCAATATTTCGCTTAAGATTAAGAACTTCCCTCCAGTAAACACCGAGGCACATTCTACTGAAATCAAACCCTCTTCGCGACCCTTTTCTCCAATAACGGAATTAAAGTTACTAGGGTGGCTCAGATACGAGGGTCGACCGTTCGAATGCATGTCGAATTTTTATCCTACGCAACTCAGTCAGAATGGAATACAGAGACATTACAAATATAAAATAATTTCTTGAAATATTATACAGTTAACGGAATTATAATTAATTTAGTGCATATTTTTAAATGGCTCTCAATTGTTACTAATTCAAAGAAATAACAACTTAAATAGATCTTTATTGTTCTTTAATTATTGAGCTATATCGTTTGGCAACTTTTCACATAATAAAAAAAATCGTGCGATTTTAATCCAACCTCTATTTTTTATACTCCAGAAGAACAAAAATCGCGTCTCATTAAATATTACCCTAACACTATCAAAAAAATCATCACATTCAACGTTGCATAAGAATGAGGAAGGTGGGTGAATTATCCTTTATCGTATGAGCGTCGATTACTGCGTTCCGGGCGCGTCGGCGGACGCTACCCGGTGGGTGCGCGAGATAGGTTGCGACATGTGCAGCGGGGGTTGCAAGGGGTGGCAGGGGGCGGTTGAATGTCGGGCAAGGGCGGCGTGAGTCACGGCCGCCTAATCAATACTGCACGGAGCGGGCTACGTGCCCCCAGTCAGGATGGCGTTCCCTGCGCTGCAACTCCTTCCGAGCCCGCCTCGAATGTCGTTCGAAGGTTACACGAACTGCGCAGCGGGCGCAATGGTTGTGCGCTTTTTACACTACCTTCGCTGTTTAGTCATAATATTGTTCTACGCCATTACAAATCATTTGAACTCCAGTTTTTGACCACTAATAGTTATTCGATAGAATATGAAAATTTTCTAATTAAAAAAATAATTCATTTGCATTTCGATGGTCCCTAGGTAAAGTCGAATCTACAAAATTGCAATTTTTTTTATTGCTGTTTTGAGATCTCAATAATAGTAATTTTGTAACAAGGTTTTCAAAAATTTTAAAGTCATTGTGTATGCGTTTTTTAGAAACGTATAATAACGAAACGTAACAGTCTATCCGGCGTAAAACAACGAATGTTAACTTTCGCGAGATTACGCTGCATCGGCGAGAGTGAAACAGGGACTGAACTACCACTATCGCTAGTTTACGCCGCAGTGATGCGCGCCTGGCGTGCAAAATTCTTATAGCTATTTTGTTAATGGTTTTTTAATTCTCTATTAATAAAATATATTGTGTGATGAGAAAGTTACCCTCCCGCGTAATATATCGAATCGGGTAGATTCGATTGTTTATGACGGGTTGTAATTTCCTAATAGTATCGAAAGTACCGGTTTCGATTATCTACGTGGTTTTTTCATAATATAATTCTATCGAAACTGACGATTTCGATACTTTACGTTGTATTATAAAGTCAAATTTCAATTGGAAGTGCCACTTTCGACTGTTTTGGGTGGATTTTATTTCTTTTTTGTAAAGATTCGATATAGGTAAGTGCTTATATTAAAGTGAAGAAACTTACTTATAATATTTATTTTCTGTGATTCATAAAACTAGACTTTCTTAAATAATATTTTTATTATTTTTATTTAATTTACCTACTTACCTTCTACTTTTTTTAGAGTCACCGATACCCACCAACTACGTCTTCAATGATTGGAAAAATATAAAGGATTTTTTGGACGATGAATTGATGGACACAACTTCCCATGCAACTTGGTTATCATCGAAGACAGTGACCAAAGTTCATCAATTTTCATGAATAGCAGGGAAATAACTCTATTACCTTCCCCAGATTTAGAAGTCGGGTCTCCCGTACAAGAAATAGTATTCTATAAATAGGGTTCTTGTTCGTCACTTTGGCTTGAGGTAATACTATTATTACCTGAAGTCAAAATGGAGAACAAGAACCCGAGTCTTTAGAGTTAGGTCTTAACAGTTAGGTGAGGATTATGCTAAACCTATAACATAGTTACCAAGTGCAGACTCATACATAACTGTTTCGGAATTACATTCCGAAACAGTTATGTATTAGTATGTAGCAGTAGGAGTACAGGAAAAGAAAGAAAACCCATTTTTAAAACTAACTCCGGAAAAAAGATCAAGGTATCCCGTAAAAACGAAAGTTCTGGTCAGCAATACCTCAGTCGAAATGGAAAGGAAATCATACTAGGTAGGCAATGGGAGTTTATCAATAAGTTCACCCATAAAATTAATAAAACCAAGAAAACAACTTACGTCCCAATATTTTTTTACCAGCACATTTACACCACAACAGGTTTGTGTGTAAACATTTTTAAATGACTTATGTATTCATCCATACTCACGAGACATTGGTTTGTTTTATTATAAGCTGAAATTTTCTGTATTTAACTTTTTTATTTTACTTTGGTATGTAACTTTCGTTGGCTGTTTTCGATTTAGCTTTTAAAGAAGGTATCAGTACTTCGTATCCTAATGTAGCACATGTGGATAGAAAGTACCGGTAAAACAGGAGCTAATGAAGTAAGTAGCTGTTTGAAGCATTATTTAAACGCAAATGATAGATCAGGGTGCTAAGAAATTCTTACTTGGTCCGATAATTGTGTGGGCCAGAATAAGAATAGAATCGTATATTCGTTATAAATGCAGTTATCCAAGACGATTTGGCGTAGATATTGCTCATCGTTGTTTAGAGCAAGGCCATACTTAGATCGAGGGCGATAGTGTACACGTCCTCATAGAGAGATAATCTAAGAAAAAACTAATTTACGCTCTTAACCGATGATCGTACGCATTAGTACGAAGGGCAAAGGCTGAACGGAGACCCGACAACGTTGTAGAAGAAACCAAGAGTGATGTTTACGACTTTAATTTTTATTAGATGACAAAAATTGGAAAAGAGACAATACAAATGAAAATGTGAAATGGAACAGCATTAAAGATGTTAGTGTAAGAAAAGTGGAACCAGATTGTATTTTAAATGTGATTTGAAGTGTTATTTTTGTGTAAGTACTACTATAGAAACAAGAAGCCGCAAAAAGAGAATGTGTCGGCCGACGTCGTTTTTTTTTTATGTGAAAAGTTGCCAAGCGAGTAGACGGTGACCTGATGTTAAATGATTACCGCCGCCTATGGACATTTGCTACACCCGAGGGTTGCAGATGCGTTGACAACCTCTTGAAGATTGGGCTCCGGCCACCTCACTCACCAGACGAAACACGAAAGTATTATGCTTCCACTTTACGCCGGTCTTCTGTGAGGTCGTGGTACTTACCCGGACGAGCCTGCCCATTCGTGCAACAGCCGAGGCTGCTGCGTGGTCCTACCGCCTCTTAAAAAATCTTTATTCAGATTCACTACTTTTACCAGTAGCAAAGTATAAAGATTTGCTTTCTTTATGTCGTTGATAAACAATACCCAAAAAATAATGATATTTCATAGGTTTTACGGCAACGGATTTTTCTTTTCATCTGAAATATTGATCAATCCGATGAGGAATATTCATTTACTAAGATATTTTTCTGTATTCTCTATTTATGATGTAAATACTATAATATTTTTTGTTAAGACAGAAATTCGAGATTATTCTGATGAATATTTTTTCTGAATTAGTATTACGTATCTACCAATGAAGTCCTACATTTTTGTTTGTTTCCTAAATATACTATGGTAAACATAGATAAGTTGGTAACAAAGACTGATTTTAAATATTATTAACATCAACAATTTATGCATTTGTTTAATTTGCAACACACTTTAATAAAGATGTTTTACGTAATTTATTTTCTTGTTTTTCTGTTACAAAATAATTGTAAGTGCAAGCAATCTACGAAGTAAATAATCGAATATGGCACTTTCAATAAAATATTCCTAACATAAGTCAACGCAAAATATCGAAATCGGCAGATTCGATACATTTGTGTATATCCGTTCCCTGTAAATAATCGAAAGAGCCAGTTTCGATTCATAAAGCAAGTTCGATAGTATACAGTATTTACACTGTATACTATCGTAACTTACTTTTCTCGAAAACTATTTATAATTATCAATTTTTGCAATAACGTAATAATTAATAAGCCCAATACAACTGTGAATCCAAATTTTTATGAAGTTCTTATCATAAATGTCAAAGTTATGCAAAACATAAACTTTAAATCGCTCTCCTGAAAAGTTGCATTTTTCACTTTCGATACTTTACCTAGGGACCATCGATTTGTTGTTGGAAAGAAAAAATAAATAAGAAACAATCTATTGGTTTTTTCTTAAACTTGTAGTGGTGGTTTTTATAATTTTCTTGAATTTATTAATTATTTTAAATTTCAAAATACTTAGAAAATTTTTTCTCCTATTTTCCGTAAAACAAAAAAAGGATTATTGCCACCAGACTTAGAATGACTAGCAAAATTAACTTAAATTACATTAAGATTTCAAAAATTGAAAAATTAAAATAATACTTTCTCAAATAAAAAGAATGAGATAGTCAAATCTTTAACATAGATTTATTTAAATATAAGAAAATATTTTAAATCTGCACATATCCAAATAGTTCATTGATTGTTTAAGATTCCATCGACAACAAAACATGTTTAGCGGAAAAGACCTCAAAGACCAGTAGCGGAAAGCTTACTATGCGAGTAGGTTTATAGCGCTTTTATACAACTGACAACAGAGACAAATTGGTAAAGACATTTAAAATCTGCATTGGGGCCGCTTACATACTCTGTCTAGACGGGAGACCTGTCTGCAAAAGGTATTTGCAGTATAGCGTTTTGCATGTATTCACGCCTGAATTGTCGAGAAAATATACACATATTTACGCATAATATTATAATAGCTATAGACATTAACTAAAACGTACTTGAATAATGATTCATACGAATACAATGTCGACGATTGACTAGTATATTTATGCTATAATATGTAATCAATGTCAAAGTGCTCGTCTCGGCCTAGGAAGGATAGTAATTTTTTTCTTTAATATCATTTCTTATATCATAATGTCACACCTGCCACCTTCTCACATAAAAAACATATTTTTAACCCATTATAAACCTTTAATATATGATACTACCTTGTGAATTTGATTTTGCTCATGTTGTGGATAATATTTGTTGTCACATTAGCAGCAAAAAATAACCTTTAACTATTAGAGCTGTAAATTTTATCAAATAAATGCATCTGTAGCTATGCTTACTGCATCTGCATATTTTCGGGTATAAAACTGTTTGAAATATCAAAAAAAATGTAATATACATGTACACTACGAACTCCCAATTAAACATGAAAATTTACTTTGAATTATAAATTTTTGTAGACAAATGAACAAAAACATTCGGCGCTGCGGCTGTTATTAAAGTTACCGTTTGACAATACTTTTATGAAATTTATTATCATCTTTTATTTCCTTATTTATTCTTTATTATTTACATATTTTGCATACCAAATGTGTACAATTTTGTACATATTTTGAAAAGGTTGCTGCAGCAAACAAAAGGTTTACGACGATTGCGCAATTTTCATCCCATTCCTCATTTTTTTTTTAATTTTTTAAATTTTAGCACCGGCCTTG